GGGGCACCCAGGAAGTCTGCTTCTCAGCCTGCTGCTCCACACTGACTGTGCCGGGGCAGCTCTGCACTGTGGGTGGGACTTCTGGAGTCTTCAGTTATGGCTGGCGGAGAGGACAGAAGGGATTTACTTCTTGTTCAGTCCATCACGAGCACCAGCTCTGAGATGCCTTCCCTAGTCACATTCCACCAGGTATCCTTTAACTAAGAGCCTCCCAGTGTCTTCGCCTCTAGAATGTGGTCAGAAATGACATGCACTCCTGAAAGCCATGGCCCATTAAAGATATCTTGCCCACTTCTCCATGGTCCTTCTTATTTTGATTCATGAATAATGACAAGGTCTGGGATCCATGGGATGGAAGGAACCCGGGTTCCCAAGGAACTGCTTGGAGGAAAGCTGACCTGATCAGCTTCCTAGGAGGTCTAGACAGTCAAGAAATAAATAGCTATTCTCTTTTTGAAAAAAAAAAGTGGGGTGGGGCACACTGCAGGGGCGGCTGATGGAGGAAGGTCATTGGCTAATAAAGGAACTGCCCTGGCCCATTTTATTGGTTAGAGGATAGGTGGGAGGAGTAAACAGAACAGAACGCTGGGAGGAAGAGGAAGTGAGCTCAGAGACGCGACAGCTCTCCTCTCAGGGGCAGATGCCTGAGAGAGACGCCATGCCCCGCTCCCAGCATGAAGCTCCGACCCAGGATGGACATAGGCTAGAATCTCCCCGAGGATGAGATGCTGTTCACTTCTTCTATTCCGATTTGGTATGATGGACCACGCCCTCCTGAATGGTTCCTGTGCACGCCTTCAAAAAATTGCTTCGCTCAACTGCCAACTGAGATGAAACTAGCACACAGGTTATACCATGAAAGACCTAATTAACGACGCCCCCATTCAGCAGGAAGCAGTTTGGAGAGAAATAACTGCGCCCATATTCCCAAAAAATGTTTATAAAGTGTTCTTTTACATTTAAAGGGGGATATGATATAGGTATGAATAATTTGCATTAGTATAGATTTTGCTTTATTGATAGAGATTTACGGTCAATTTTGTTATATATATAAGTGTTTCTGATTTTGATTAAGGTATTGTGATTGTATAGTTCATTTAAATATGTACTGTATAATTAAGAAATATAGGTTGTTAATGGATAATCATCAATAATAGTAAAGCTTGTAGTCATGTTAGTTAGATTTTCTAGATATATAGAGATATATTTTAGATAGACATTCTTCATGTCTTTCAAAGATTACAGAATAGGACATTTAATGTTTTAATAACTGAGGACTTTTCATGACAATGAGACACTCTGCTCCTGACAGCACCAATGTACTTCAAGAGGAAGATGGGCATCAAAGAGGCACCTTATGGAGTTTGATAGCCATTTGGGCAAGAAACTGCTCTTGCCTGGACTATTGCATAAACTGGACACAGAGAACCCGCAGAGAGAGGACTACTGAACTTGCCTAAGGTGAGATGATCTTTCGGGGTTCCTGATTCATGAAAGAGTCTGCGAGACATTCTGCAGGACACAGCAGATAGTGACTGAACTGACTTTGAATTTTCCTGCTTTATGGAAATGTCTGCTGGATACCATGGGCCTGAAGGCTGAAGATGGATGCCCCAATGGTACAAAAGAACTTTGGGTGACTGTCCAGGCAGCGAGATGTCTCTGTCATTTCTAGAGTTTTTTTCTTGTTTGCTTAGGTAGTATTGTATCTTTCTGGAGTCTTTGATGGAGTTAAGACTAGTTAGTTATAGTTTTCCTTAGTTATGATAAAGATTATTGTAACTTTTACTTGATAATTGTTTTGTTATATGTAATTTTGCTATGTTAAAGTTAAAGCCTTTTTTTTTTTTGTTTAAACCGAAAAAGGGGAAATGATGGAGGAAGGTCATTGGCTAATAAAGGAACTGCCCTGGCCCATTTTATTGGTTAGAGGATAGGTGGGAGGAGTAAACAGAACAGAACGCTGGGAGGAAGAGGAAGTGAGCTCAGAGACGCGACAGCTCTCCTCTCAGGAGCAGACGCCTGAGAGAGACGCCATGCCCCGCTCCCAGCATGAAGCTACGACCCAGGATGGACATAGGTTAGAATCTCCCCAGTAAGCGCACCTTGGGGTGCTACACACAGATGATTAGAAATGGGCTAAATTAATATGTGAGAATTAGCCTAGAAGAGAATGGGCCAAGCAGTGATTAAATGAATACAGTTTGTGTTTTGTTATTTCGGGGCATAAGCTAGCTGAGCAGGCAGCCGGGGTGCTGGGGATGCAGCCCCGCCGCCGCCCTTATTACTTCAGGCGGCTCAGTGGTTAAGAGCACTTACTGCTCTTCAGAGGGTCAGAGATCTGTTCCAAGCACCCATGGGCTTGTAACAACTGCTTGTAACTCTGGCTCCAGGGGAACTGACATTATCTCCGAGCCTCTGTGGATACTTTCAAATACATGACACATGATTCTAGTGTGTGCATGCATACACACACACACACACACACACACACACACCCCAAAATAAAAATAAATCAATAAAAATTAAGTGTGGTGTTTAAACTCTATTCCTAAGAAATTTGTGCCTTAGACACTGCTCCACTGCTGTGAAGAAACAACAGATCAAGGCATCTTATAGAAGGAAGCCCACGATCCTAACGACAGGGAGCCGGGGAACATGGTGACAGGCAGGCAATCACAGCACTGGAGCAGTCGCTGAGAGCGCACATGGGATCCATTAATTGCAGGTGAGGTAGCGTGAGGCTGGGCCTGCCCGGCATGGGCTTTGAAACCTTAAAACCTACCCCCAGTGGCACACCTCCTCCTCACCCCCTAGTCCTTTCCAACAGTTCCACTAGCTGGGGACCAAGCATTCAAACACGAGCCTATGGGGGTCATTCTCATTCAAACTACCTAGTTATCAAAGAAAATAAAATATGTCATGTAAAAAAGGTTGCAGCTGACAGCCCAGAAATCCACTAACAGGGCTGGGGAGACATCTCGGTCAGCACGGTGCTTGCCCTGCAGTCATGAGGACCTGATGATAATCTCCAGAACCCACTTGAAGACACTGGGCATGAAGGTGGAGACAGGAGGATGGCGGAGGCTCACTGACCAGCCAGTCTAGCCTCAATAGTGAGCTTCAGGCCAATGAGCAACTCTGTCTCAAAGGACTTGACAGTATTTCTAAGGACCTTTTCCAAGACTGTCTACTGCCCCCACATACATGTGCAGACAGGTGTATATACATGCTCATCCATATAGATGAATACACACATACGATTAAACATCTACTAACAGATCTCTCTGAACATACATTCTAGAAAACGATAAAACTGTGGGGATGGTACAATGAAACGGTTGTACGTTGAGAGAGGACAGAAGGGTGAATAGGAGGGGAAGGATTTTCAGGGTGGTAAAGATCCTCTGGGCGACCTGGCTACGGGCTGACATGAAATAGCTCCTCTAGGCCCCGTGTCTAAAGGCCTGATGCTCCCCTGGTAGCAAGCGCTGTTCTGGGTGGCTGTGGGTACTCAGGTGAGCCCTAGCTGGGACAAACAATTACCAGGGCAGTCACTGGTCTCTGAAGGTTACCCTTGTCCTCTGGCTCTCCCCTCTCTACCCGGCCCCTCGTTCCCTGAGAAGAACACAGTCTTCACCAGTGTCAGGCTTTCCATGAGTCTCTAATCAAACTCATAGGCCCAAGCAACCAAGGACAGAAACCTCTCAAATCATGAGCTGCCATAAACCCTTCCTCCTTTAAATTCTTTTGGATGACGATTTGGTCACACTAAAGGGAAAGCTGACTTACATAATAACACAGTAGTGGAAATAAACAACTTGATGTGGCCGGGTCCATAGGCTGTACCACACCTAGCGAACACACCTGTGACCTATGCACCTTGCTGACTGCCAAAAGCAAGCAAGGGGGCTGGAGAGATAACTCAGTGGTTAAGAGAACTGGCTGTACTTCCAGAGGTCATGAGTTCAATTCCCAGAAACCCCATGGTGGCTCATAACCATCTATAATAGGATATAATGTCCTCTTCTGGAATGATATATAAAACATAAATAAATAAAAAATTTAAGGACAGCATGCCACTGTGGAGGGGAGCACTGTGCATGTGTGATATGGGATATGGGAAATATCTGTGCTTCCAACTGTGTTATGAGCTTAAAAGTGCTCTGAAAATGAAGCGATTTTATTTCATTTTTTAAATTCACCAACTGAAAATAACAGATTAATAACAGTCCTGTAAAAAGCCATCAGGCTGTTAGAACAGTTTACCCATTTCCTTTATTTAAAACAAGCCTTTCCATGGTGAGAATGCTCTTCACGAGTCACCCAGTGTGGGGGCCACTAGCCTGTGTGCTCTTAAGAGCACTAGAAACACGGCCGCTGTGACTAAGGCCCTGGATTTCAGATTTCAGTGGGTAGCACACTGGACAGACTTCCCCGGAACCTCATGGTTCTCCAGCTCAGAATGGAAACTGGATGACCCAAATTCTATTTCTGAGACCTGGCGTACACATCACCTACATTTCCCATCTCTAAAATCCAGGAGAGAAGTAACACTTGGTACTCCAGCACCTCCCGGTCCAGAGAGCAGCCTCCAGTGAACCCCAGCAGAACTGTGTCTCCTTGCACAAGCCAGGAAACCATGTTGTGCAGACCGATATGGGTAAGACTGAATAAGTATGCTGGTGGCTATTCATGTGTATGCATTTCAGAGAAGTTTCCTTTACATGCTGCCTACACAGCTTCACTGTTTAGTGATAACATGGTACGTGAGGACACTCATGGGAACATGTGGAAGGGCCAAGTCCCATTTACTGCAGCAGGCAATGTGGCACGCAGTGGCCATACCGTGCTTGATAAAGGGTTCCTGTGCTGACAATATCTGTAACGCAGAATGCTTATTGTCTTGTCAGAGGAGATACTTTCGAAACAAGAATTTTAAAAGCTGGAACAAAAATTTAATACAGCACTAAAGGGAAGCAATAACTTTTCTCATTTTTAAAAATACGGAATGCTTCATTAACTTGCATGGCTTGAGCAGGGGCCATGCTCATCTTCTCTGCACTGTTCCAATTTTAGCGAACGTGCTGGCATTCGGGCATACCTGGAAGAGGGTGAAGATTACATGAGATTACCTCACCCTTGGATACATAACAAGTTCAAGGTTTGGCTTGGCTACATAAAACCTTGTCTTAAAAAAGTATGCGCTCAGGGCTGGAGGGTGGCTCAGTGGTTATGAGCGCTTGCTGCTCCAGCAGAGGACCCAGGCTGAGTTCCTAGCACCCACAGGTGGTTCACAACCATCTGTAACTCCAGGTCCAGGGACACCGATGCCCTCATCTGTACTTTTCCCTCTTGCCACAGGAAACTGGCATCTTATTCGCAAACTTGCTACACAAAAGAAAATACACCCGCATTTAATTTCTTGGATTTTATTTAAACATTTATTTTGTGTGTGAGATTGGAGGACAATGTTGCTAAATCAATTTCCTTCTCCTGTGTGAGTTCTGGGGATTGAATTCCAATCGTGAGGCTTAGTGGCAGGTACCTTAGCCTATCTGAGTCCTAGTCCTAATACCAGACTTCCCTAATACCAGACAGATCTGTCAAGATATGTTAAAGCTCTTTCCTTAAAAAATAAAAATGTTAGGCAGTGGTGGTGCACGCCTTTAATCCCAGCACTCGGGAAGCAGAGGCAGGCGGATCTCTGAGTTCAAGGTCAGCCTGGTCTATAAGAGCTAGTTCCAGGACAGGCTCCAAAGCTACAGAGAAACCCTGTCTCAAAAAACAAACAAACAAACAAACAATAAATAAAAAGTTACAGCTATCTATCTACCATTAAAACGTAAACCAAGAAAGGAGAAAAGATGAGACACGGGGGCTGGAGAAATGGCTCAGCGGTTAAGAGCACTGACTGCTCTTCCAGAGGATCCAGGTTCAATTCCCAGCAACCACATGGCAGCTCACAACTGTCTGAAAATCCAGTTCCAGGTGATCTGACACCTTCACACCAATGCACATAAAATGAAGATAAATAAATCATAAAAAAAGACAAAAAAAAAGATGAGACACAGTGTCTCACCTAATCCTCATCCTCATAGCAACTATAACTATCGTGAATGCTCACTCTACAGATGAGAAAAGTATGGGTGAGAATCACTCACCGTGGGTCATAGGCAAAAAAGAGGCAATGGAATTTAATACAAGGATTCAGCTCCCAGACATATCTATTTCTCTGTTATACTGTTGGTAGTGAGAGTCCAACTCAGTACCCTCAGTGTCACCCAGCATCAGTACCCTCGGTGTCAGAGATACCAACCCAGCATCAGTACCCTCGGTGTCAGAGATACCAACTCAGCATCAGTACCCTCGGTGTCAGAGATACCAACCCAGCATCAGTACCCTCGGTGTCAGAGATACCAACTCAGCATCAGTACCCTCGGTGTCAGAGATACCAACCCAGCATCAGTACCCTCGGTGTCAGAGATACCAACCCAGCATCAGTACCCTCGGTGTCAGAGATACCAACTCAGCATCAGTACCCTCGGTGTCAGAGATACCAACCCAGTATCAGTACCCTCGGTGTCAGAGATACCAACTCAGCATCAGTACCCTCGGTGTCAGAGATACCAACTCAGCATCAGTACCCTCGGTGTCAGAGATACCAACTCAGCATCAGTACCCTCGGTGTCAGAGATACCAACTCAGCATCAGTACCCTCGGTGTCAGAGATACCAACTCAGCATCAGTATCCTCGGTGTCAGAGATACCAACCCAGTATCAGTACCCTCGGTGTCAGAGATACCAACTCAGCATCAGTACCCTCGGTGTCAGAGATACTAACTCAGCATCAGTACCCTCGGTGTCAGGGAAGAGTGTTTGCAGAAGGAATCTGCAACAGCTGGGTTTTTTTCAGTGTGTGACAAAAAGCCTTTCTAGGGGTGTTCTAGTTAGTGTCTATCAACCTGACACAAGCCAGGGACATTAGAAAATACCTCCTTCAGACTGACCAATAGGCAAGCCTGTGGAGTATTTTCTTGATAAATGACTGGTACGGGTTTCTTGATTAACGGTTGATGTGGGAGGGCCTAGATCATACTATGTGCATTGCCACTCCTTGTCAGGTGGTCCTGGAAGGACCTTAAAGGACTTATAAAGGAAGCAGGCCACGTGAGCCATGAGGAACAGCCCAGTATGTAGCCCTCCTCCATGGCCTCTGCTTCAGTTCCTGCCTTGAGTTCCTGCCCTGACCCCTGAGAGGTTCAGTGTGACCTAGAAGCTGTAAGATGAATCACACCCTTTGCTCCACAGGCCAGTTTAGTCACTGCTCATCAGCACCAGGGCGCTAACTGGGACAGAGGGCATGGGTTTCTCTGTGGGGAGGGCAGGCCTGCACTCTGATTCCCCTGTCCTGTCACCTACTGAAGTCACAGGAGGCAGATGCTCCGAGAGCTAAGAGGAACCATGAAGACCTCTGTCCCCAAATGTCACAGAGACCATGGCCTGGGTCATTTCTCTAAGCTATGAGCTCTGGTCTTTAATTAGAGGAGAACAGGCCCTTTCCTGCCTCTCCTCCTGTCTTTAGTGTTTATTTAAAGTGTTGGAAGCGGCTGTTCCTGTCTACCACTGCTCCTGTCTACCACTGAAGCGAGAACGCAGGGGGTGATGTCCTATTACTCGGGCAGTGGAACTGCTTGGCACTGGATTCCAGATTCAAAGTATAAGAAGATCTTAAATGCCAGGCAGGACACCTGCAGAGAGACTAGGGTTTGAGGACAGGTCCAGCGCCTGGTGGTACAGCACTCCAGGGTTGGATGGAGCATCTGCATGCTCCCGCTGCCTACCTTCACCCCACCTAAAACACATTCCTGATGGCAGTGAGGACAGTCTAAGACGTACGGAGTCACCGTAGATGACGCAGGCCAATGCCCTCCTTCACAAGCACACAGAGGTAAGTGCACAGCTCCTGGAGGTCTTGCAGCTGATTGAAGTGACATTGAGTTTAGAACACCTGTTAATTGCCACCATAGAGACAGATGTTCTCAGGAGTCATTCTGAACCAATGGCTCCCAACCTTTTTAAGGCTATGACCCTTTAATATAGTTTTTCATGGTTAATACAGTTTTTCACCCAACCATAAGATTATTTTGCTGCTATTTCATACCTCTAATTTTGCTACTGTTATGAATCGTAATGTAAATGTCTGATACGCAGGATCTCTGATATGCAAGCCCCAAGGGCTTCCCGACCCACAGGTTGAGAACTGCTCTACCTATGGTTCCCAGTCATCCCACGGGACTGCAGAGGTTTCCTACTTTTGTACAAACGTGTACAGCCAGATCCTTTCTATTTAGCTACATTGTTTGGTTCTTCAGCAATTTTTCAAAGCTGTCATTTTAATCACTTATAAATACAGTTTTTTAATTAGAAGACCGCCCCAACACTTCTCACCGCCTCTTAGGAGAAGTTGTTTTTGCAGCTCCACCTCTGCAAGTGCCATTGAGTGTCCCGCAGCTCTGTCCCTGTACCACAGCAACTCAAAAACAAAAACAAAAAGCCATCCTTAAGTTCCTCTGTGGGGTGGTAATTTGATGTTCTAAAACAAATTTTTCACCAGAATTAGCTCCTAACCAAACTGAATTCTATGCGCGCGCACACACACACACACACACACACACACACACACACACACACACACGGGGTATGTATGTATGTGTTCACGTGGCTGTATGCACATGTGCATGTGAGTACATACACACATGTACGTGCGCATAAAGGCCAGAGACCAACACTGGCTGTCTTCTGACTGTTCTCCACACTATTTTATCTCTACTATTTTTATTTATGTGTATGTGTTTATGTCTAGGGACAAGGGACCCTGTGTATAGGAGCCCATGGAGCCAGAAGGGGCATCAGCTCTGGAGCTGAAGTTCTGGTTCTGACAGCTTGACATGGGATCCTGGGAACTGACTCCAGTTCTCTGCATGAGCAGCAAGGGGTCCTGCTAAGCCAGCTCTCCAGCCCCCTACCTTGTGTTCTGAGACAAGGTTCCAGAACAAGTGTGGCTGAGCTTGGTAGCACAGCAGTTCTGCTAAGCTGGCTGGCTAAGGGGCTCCAGGGGCTCCTGGGGCTCCACCCCAGCACTGGGATGACAAATGTATCCAACCGCAGCTGGTTTTCATCTGGGTCCCTGGGATCGGGATCAATAGACTGACGGATTGGGACTCAGGCTCTCACCGGACAAGGCAGGCTCGTAGCTTGAGTAAGCCATCTCCCAAGTGTCACCCCCTTTCCCTTTCAGAGGTAAGTATTCTGTGATCTAGGCTGACCCAGAATTCATGGCAACTTTCCTGCTTTAGCCTATCATGTGCTTAGAGAAGTGTTCATGGCCTGGTTTTGAGAAGATCTTTGTTAGTTATCAAAGGCAAATGCTTTCAGCTGCTCCCCTGCTCTAAGTGAACTCATAGGAATAGATATATACAGGTCCTGCTGTGTTTATAGGGTAAAATCTGTTAAACTGCTAATATCTGACAAACAGCAACAGAGCTTTCCAGTGTGAGTCTATCCATCAAATGATAGAACAATCATTTACAATAATCAGTAATAACAGTAAATGAAAACATTCATTCACCAAACACATTGAGTGAGATACCTATGTGAGGAGATAGCGACCGTTAGCGTCGTGGGCAACTAAACACCCATCCAGTAACGTTCACCACGTTGGATAAACCATGACCCCACCATACACTGGAAAGCCAATGTAGCCATAAAACATGCAGTCCACATGCAGCACCGTGACAAGATGCCCCGAGGCAATAATGAAAAGAACATGATACACTGGAGTCTTGGTAACCCTTTCTTCCTGGTGGTGCTCAAGCCCAGGCCTCACAAACACTAGTGCTCTGTCACCGAGTGCTGCTTCTGTGTATAAACACGGCAGGACCTGTATATGTCTGTTCCTATGAGTTCACTTAGTGCAGGGGAGCAGCTGAAAGCGTTTACAGAAGCTGTTTACGAGACTACCAGTAGGAGAAGTTTCGTGTACATTCTAGTTATTTCCTACATTTCACACAGAACTTACTGTGTACATGTAGACCCTGCT